GACGAAATCGGGGTTCGAGACCAGTGTGGCGGTGTTGGCCATAGAAAAGTCCGGGTACGCGACATTTCCCGCCGACGGCACCATGTTCTGCGAGAATATGGAAGACGCGACTGTGTAATCTAGGCTTGCGTTTTGATTCGAAAAATCCGAGCTTGGTGTTCCCATGGTCGTAAACCCTGCAGTAGACGTTGGTAGGCTGGCATGGATACTATGGGGCGAAATTTCTTGCTGCTGGGCTTGTGCTTGTTGCTGAGCAGCAGCCTGACTCTGAGCATGGAGGTAAAACTTCTCGACCCGTTTTGCACGAATCGCAAAGTGGTAGAAACTGTCGCGGTCGCCTCTGTCATCAAGGTCTAGTGAGCTTGCAGCGTCGAGCCTGAGCACGACCTGGCGAATGGTGTGTGCAATGTCTGCAAACTGCCTCAAGTGCTCCGCCATGAACCCTACCCGGGGATCCGCAGCTAGCAGATCCAGCCGTGCGGCTAGAGTGAAGCCACAATGCAGCATTACCCAGACTATGTTTGGGAAGTAGACCTCTTGTCCATGAGGTGTATGGAGGAGGACGCTAACGAGCGATTTGGCCGATACTATGCTCTCGGATAAACCTGCAATGAACCGCTGCATTGGGGCGTTTTGCGGGTTGTTGAGACCAAACGGTGTCTCTGGTAGAGACAGCTGGTTCAGGCAGAGCTGGATTGTGTGTAATTGGGGCACCAAGATTGCTACGATGAATGGTTAGGAGTCTACTCAGGCTTGTAAACACAGGCATTCAACTTACGACAATCGCCGAGAGCGAAGGTCAGCCCGCTCTTAAACACGTCGACCCTTTCCTTAGCTTCTGATACCGCAGCTTGAATCTGCATAGGATCTAATGTCGACTCGTTCTTCACAATGTCATCAATGTCTTCGGCTAACCGCTGTAGGCTGATGATGTACGGAAGGTACTGATCAGTGGGGTACTCAGAGATCTCCGCTAGCTTCTCAGCAGTTTCGGTGATGTAACTCGAAAGAGTAACTATGCGAAGCTTCTGAAGCACGATACTCGTGCTACGAGGGTTTGAAGATTAGCTGGGGGCCCAGCATCACAGCCTGCGGGAACCGTCGACTTGACAGACATACCAAGATGAGAGATAATACGTCCCAAGAAACGTCCTACGTTCATCTAAAGAGTCGACATAGTCTTGTGAAGTGCTCATGCCCTCAACGTTCCAACGTTTCGGGTTCTTTGGCCTATCGAAACGCAGATCAGACACTATGCTCGTAGCTAGATGAAGATGCTGTGAGTATCTCTTCGGCCTTGGTTGGAAGTGGGCCCTGTGACGAGGTTAGTGCCAGGGACATGGAGGGTTAGTGTGGTTTCGCATTACCAGGCGAGATGGACGAGGAGGCCCTGGAGTACGTCAAGGCAGGCAAAATCACCCTTCACCAAGCGGACCGCGATGAGGTCGTTAAACATCTGACCCAGTGCTCGCTGCAGGCGGACATCATCGTATGACGAAACAGCGAGAAGGCCGAGCAGCAAGGCTGGCCTTGACTGTCTCAAAGAGCTCACATTTTCTGATGCTGGGATGATGATGAATGGAAAATGAGGTGTCAACTTGGTACGAAACCTCTCAAGGAGCTCCTGGCCTTTGTCGATAGAAAGCTGGCCGGCCTCGAATGGGTCATGAACGCCGGTGCCAAGGCTACGACCGGCTGGACCGGCATCACCGGCTCGGGGATGTTGAGTGGATGAACTGCCAGACGAGGCAGCAAGCTGCGGAGGAGTCCGGGTTTGATCGGGCGTAAGGCTTTCAGAGGCGGAAGGACTTTCGGTCACAGGTTGGGCGGGTTGGGCCGGCCTCTCCGGAACCTGCAACTTGTTGGACCTTTTGCGCCGTCTCTCGCGTCAGTTTTCGGCGGCAACCACCCGACGTTGGACAAGGAAACTTGTGAGAACTACCTGGAACGCGGCCCGGGCGGCTTCCTCCCGCGGGCCACAGCATACGTGCAATCTTTGCCCAGCCGGAGGCATCTATCGCAGACGTTGGAGTCCTGGGAACGATCGCACTTGATTTTGGCGTGGGCGCATGTACGACACGTCTTCAAAAGCGGGGTTGGACTGCGTTGGCGAGACTCCATGACGCAGACGCACAACGGGATACGTGCTGACGGAGGGGCGGCGGCGGCGGCGCAACACGGAGGAGGGGAAAGGGAAGGGAAGGGGGCTAGGCGGTTCGGAGTCCTCGGTGTGGTTAGCCAAACGGTCATGGAAGAAGCAGCATCGCTACGGACACGGGGTGAAAAGAATTGATTTGGCGTACGGACACGGGGTCGATGAGTCGGGGGGGGCAGAGAGACATTAATCTGTTCCCAGCGAGATTGCGGACGGGGTCGACGCCGCCGACACAGCCGAGTGTTTAATGTCCGATCCAACGGTGCAGGGGTCTGCGGTGGCTTAGATTCTCGAGCTAGGCCAGACTAACGCTCCATCACTAAACTCTGAGAGGAACGCGATCCACTAAATCAAGGCTGATCAACTGCACGGAAGCCTTTTTACCGCGGTGTGATGAGGCTAGCAGGTCGCCTTCTTGTCGATTCAATGATTGCTGGGCCAGTCAGAGAGCAGCTCACATCACCAGCGCAATCGCAATGTCGCATTGAATAAGCGGAAGGATGCAGTAGCAGGGAAGTCTTATTGCCAGCCGTGCCAGCCAACCCCGAAGCTCTTGAAAGGCTTGATGGAATTGTCTAAGCTCTGGGTCACCGCCAGTCAACACACCGCAAGGTACCTTACGAGGTAGGATCACAAGCATCTTATAATGTGAACTATTTCTCAGATCATCAAGCTTCCAGGAATTGGGCGGAAGTGGATAAAAAGGATGTTCGTGCACGTCGCAAATGAGATGCGATACTTGATATTCGGTCGTGCTAGAAAGCCAGTCGTACATCTGAAATGACGTAAATTGTCAGCTGCCGTGTTTGAGAAGACCTCTGAGTGGAATCCGCAGCACGTTCCAGAGCTCGGAACTTTTCATTTTTTCTTTCCTCTTTTTGTTTTTCGAACGAAGTGGCACACGATTGAACATCGTAGGCTCTAGTTGTCTAATTATTACACCATCGAAAAAGACGATGCTGTTTCATGTATTATTGTACTGGCTTGCTTACGGTTACGCCAGAAAACCCGGCCGAGGCCATTAATTATTCCTGGTCAACGTTGGTTCAAGCATTGTTTCGATTCGACGGCATCAATACTTAGCCCAATTAATAGATATAAGCCCAGACAAGTGTCCTTTCTGCGAAGTCATTCCCAAAAAACGGTTACGCCAAGAATAAGATCACCACTTTGTATCGTACCACAGCAGTGTCTTAAGTTGCTACCCGCGACACAGGATGGATCCACTGACAGCCATCGGGCTGAAGGCAAACATTTTGGCCTTTGTCGATTTTGGCCTTAAAGGCCTTAACGAAGCCAAAATAGTCTACAAATCCTCATCAGGTCTCACTGAAGAAGCTGCCAACCTGTAGAGATTTGCTGAGCAAATGCGTCGTTTCGCGAACAATCTCCAAAACCCCGGATCCCATGGAACTCGATGACGGCGAGAAGGTCCTCTGCGCATTAGCAAAAGACTGCTGCAAAGTTTGTGAGGATATTCTTACGCTCATTGATGGCATACGATCCAAAAAGCCGTTTTCCGGAATACATGCAATGAAGTCGCTTGAAAGGCGTGAAATATCAAAGTGATTTGAGATGATTACAATTCAAACTCAACTCCTGCCAGAGCCGAATCGGTCCTCAACTCACGTATATCACAAGGTTTGTCATCCCTTCTGCATGTACACATAGACAATTCACCTCTGCTAAATTTTATGAATAGTGAAAGAATCGTCTCAAGACTCAACATCTTGAGAGGAAACGAAAAGACAACTTTTCTCGGCTGCAAGAGATCAAAGGCTCTATCGAGAGTCTACAAACTATTAGCGACGTCTGCAGCCTGCGAGACACTATCAAAGGCGATATTCAGAAGCTTTTACTCATACCCCAACGTTCGCTTAAACCTTGCTCAGAGGTCTATTCTCAGAGCACTTGAATTCAACACCATGTACTACTGCTATGGCACGATTTGCGACGCGCATGAAAAGACGTTTCGGTGGATATTGGCCGATGATTTTGAGGAAAAATGTAACGTCGACTGCCCGAATGGTCGCCCAAATGAGCTTTATCCGACAGCGGGACTGAAATGATAAAGGAAACGAACCTTAAGGTCGACGTTACTTCCGCTCTGGCGGAAGACAACGCGCTTGTGATCTGTACAGGAGTTGACGGGGATGACTTCCCACTGCTTGCCAGAGAAATCTCACATGGCCCATATCAAATTCCGTCATCAAAATGCCTTGCCACTTGCGAAGAGCGCCGACACATCCGACAGAAGCTTACGCGGTGGCTATCTTCAGGCAGCGGGGTGTTTCACTTCTCGGCTAAGCTCGGAGCTTGCAAGTCGACTGTGATGAAAATGATAATCAACCATGGTGAGAGCCGAAAGCGGCTTGATACTTGGGCAGGTGAGTTGTCCTTTCTCAAAGGCTTGAACGGAATAGCAATCTGACAAGGATATCTGCAGGCGATAAGACTCTGGTTTGTGCCAAGTTCACCTTCTAGAACTCTGGGAGCGAGCGGCAAAGGTCCATTTCCGGCTTATATCTCGGGCTGCTACATGAAGTTCTCTCAGCTCATCCTGATCTCACACCCCATGACCTTCCCTCGTTCTGGGAGACGGTGTACACATCCTCTTGGCCGGCCGGTGAACGAATGCACATTTCGCCATCCCAAGCCTTACAAGGTCTTGACCGACTCTTTCGAGGGAGCGACATAAGTCAGAACTACCGCTTTTGCCTTTTCATCGACGGCCTAGACGAGCTTCATGAAACGACAGAATGCTCGTATTCTGATCTGACTGAGATGATCTACCGCTGATCTTCCCTTACATCTCGACTTTCAAGTTACGATTAAGATAGATCGCATGGAATCGATGCTTTGCAAGTTCAATGATAACAAACAAAGCTTAGGAAATGGATCCAGCACATATTTCAGTGACGTACCCGCATTGAAAGATTGTTTTTTTAGCGTACGCCCACGACAGATCATTGAGCTGTCGTCTTTCGAGAACAAAACCCGGCTTCTTCACCTACTCGATGAGATAAATGGCAAGCCAGAAGCCAAGCTTCAGGGAGGAGAAGAGGGAATCAACGAAGATGAGCCTCGGTCCCTACCCTTAGGCGAGAACCGGAATACTGGGCATGAAGCGGTCAACGACGGAATCGGTGTGGCACTTGAGCATCTGGGAAAGCGAGCCATCCTGCCGAAAGTATTCGCGCATGTTTTCATCGTTCGTTTCGCTGCCACGCTGGTCTCAGGTAATTACTTGACTCCTCGAGTCTCGCGGTAGTCCCTTCGCCAGAATGTTGCTAACAACACTGCAGTATGGCTTCTGAGCCAGCTCTTTGAACTCGCTTTGAGACAGATTCATGCTCGAGGCGGAACTTTGCAGAGAGTTTGGAGTTTGGCGATAGGTTTGTATTTGCAAGAGGTTCTCACGAAGTCCAGTATTAATTGACATCGTCAGGACCAGCTCCTAGGGTCTTCTTCACAGAGAAATGTTGGGAGCCGCGTCTTGTTTGCGTTGAATCTTGAATGTTAGAAGGGTGTAGTTTGAATTGAATCCATTTGTGAAATTTATGTGCGCCTTGCAATGCCTCGTTCCCGGAAGGTATCTATCTAGCCGTACTCGCACGAACCCATGATATCAAGAAACTACCGACGCAGAAGTCATGGCTCAGGAGCAAACTGGGAACCTTCCAAATACCTTCAAACGGAAAGGGAAATATCATGACAAGCCAGAAAGCTCCTCAAAATCAAATCCCTTGAATCCATCCTCAACAGCCCACGCCCTTCCCTTCTCTCGCTCATACAACGCCTCACATGCTCTACCCACAACAAGAAGCCCAGGCGGCCTGCTCCCCTCAGCCTCAATGGCTTCAGTAACATACCCCAACGTCGTCCGAATCACCCTCTGATCAGGGCAACTCGCCCGCTCAATAACAGCACACGGCGTATCCCTCGGCCACAGCGCCCTCTTCGGTGTGCTCTTCTCCTCCCCTTCGCGCGCAGCAACTTCCGAGTCGAGGTGAGTCGTCAACTCCCCAACCAATCCCGTAATCCGATGCAAAGCCATCAAAAACACAACCGTACGGCTGGGGATATACTCTGGCGGTGTCGGCGCCTTGCCCTTCTTCCCTGTGCCGGTACACACAAGGACCTGATCCGCGACATCTCTCTGCGTAGGCGGAATTCCCGCAAATAAAGGCGCGCTCAACGACGATGTGATGCCCGGTAGCACCGTCACCCGCTCCCCGAACCCGTGCTCCCTGAAATAGGCCACTTCCTCTCCGCCGCGGCCGTAGATGAAGGGATCGCCTTGCTTTAGCCTCAACACCGTCTTGCCCTCCTTTGCACCCGCCAGCGCGAGCTCGTGGAGTTCTTCTTGGGCTTGGTCTGCGTTGCCTGGGAACTTGCGCGCAATCTTGACGGGAGTGCGGCGCGGAATGAGATCTAGCACGCCCGCGGGGACGAGCTTGTCTGCGAGGATGAGGTCTGCTGTCTGGATCGCCTTGTGGGTTGCACGGGTCAGGAGGTCTGGGTGTCCTGGGCCACTGCCTGCGAGGATGATTCTCCCTTGTTGCTGCGGGCGTGCTGCGCCACCTGCTGCGATGACCGGTGGTGGTCTCGCCTCCTCTGATGGGTTGCCGAAGCCAGAATACGACTTCAGTACAGACTCAACGTCCTCATCGTTGATGGCGGCAAGACGCTTCAGGGGCCAGTACTCGCATACCTGACTCAGCCACCTCATGCGCCGGTTCTTCGCCGCATCGAGATCGGCCGCAGTGACGAGCTTGTTGAATGATGCCGTCTGGTCGAACGAATCGTCGACTTCGTCTGCCGCGAGACGGTCTTCTGTCTGGATTCGCCGGCGTACATCGCCTAGCCTCGCGCAGGCGGCACCTAGATCCCGGGGAAGCGCAGCGGCGACTTCGCGCCGGATGCGGGAGGCGAGCTTGCAGCCGCGCCCGTTTGTGGTAACCCCAATCTGTAGAGGTCCGTCGGTGTGTGTTGACAGAAGTGAGAACGAGCAAAGCTGCGGCGCGTCGACTACATTGATGGGAATACGATGCCGCCTACACAGCGCTGAGATCTGAGCTGCTTGCGGGGAGGAAGAAGATGTGACGAAGACGGCATCAACGACATTATCAACCTCGTCGCGACCCAGAGTGAAGAGGTCTGTGTCGGCAAAGGCTTTCCTGTGCCATGTCACCTCACCGGCGTCGATGCGCTTCTGGAGGCCGTAGTGGAGGTCTTGTGTGTCTGGGGCGATGAGGATCGGGGTTGCGCCAGCGTTGATGGTTTGTGTGCAGCGGGCTGCGGCGAGGGGGTTTGTGCCGATAATGAGATGTGTGTTGCCCTTGCAGTTAAGTGATGTGAGGAGAGATGTCGTTGTCGCCATCTTGGGCTGTGCGAGTGAAGACGATGAGTCTTCTTCTCCTTACTGTTCTTTTTCTCTCGAGTTCAAGTACACGATCCCCGTCTCTCCAGATGGTCGAGTGAGGGTCGTCTAAGTGGAGTATGCGACAGAGGTCGTAGTCGAAGAACCAATAGTCCAAGTGAGACCAGATGGATGGGAAATGAATCGAGAACGAGTAGTAGAATCAACAAACTCTCATAACTCTGAAGTCAAATAGAGAAATAAAGCATTGATATGAATTACTCACTCATTGTCCTCCCCCAAGATTTGAGTGAAGCTAACTAATAAGGTAATCTGCCAAAGCCCGAAGACGGCCGGGGGCCCGTGGGACCCAATCATGCGGCGGGCAAAAAACGTTGGTTGGCCAAATTTTCATTCGCTGGCGATGACACCATCCCGATAGCCGTCCGCCCCAGTGGCCCTGATCCCCTTATCGGCGCACCACCCGCACCGTGACCACCGCAAACGCGCTGAAGGGCCAGGGCGATGGCGTGACCAATCAGCGGCATTAGTGACCGACTCCCGCGGAGCCGTCGCCGGAGATCCTTAACTTACCGTCCCTCCTTCGACCTGTGCTCGCCGATGCATCTCCGGTGTCAAACACCATGTCCGCCACTTTTGGTTTAGACATCAGATAACCATTGCGCTTTGCATGCTTGGCCTTACAAAAGAGCTGTCAAATCGTTGAGTTGTGGTATTGTAACATGATGTGGTTGGCTCATCCTCTGAGTTATGTGCCTTAGTACCTCAAAGCAAGGCAGACCGTGATATGCCTCCATTCCCGCCCATCCAAGATCTATTCGGTTTTCGTGGTGTTGATACAATACTTTTCCCGCCCGTTTTTTTGTACACAAACCTTAACATTACACCTCAAGCTTACAATTATTCCTCGTCCGCCTTGGCCAGACTCTTCAACAGCTGCTGGCGAGCCGCCTTCCTGCTCGTCTTGCGCTGCGGCCCAGTTGTTGTTCTGGCCTCATCCGAGCCAATAACACCCGTCTCGTTGATATCGACACCAATCACCTTCTTCTTCTTGCTAGCAGCCGCCTTTTGACGCTGGGCTCTAAGACCGCCGTCATCGAGCACCTCAGGCCTGCCCAGACGTACGTTGCGACGGTTGCGCGTCTTCGCGCCCAGAGCCCACAGGTCGCCCCACTTGGCCTTGCGGGCGTCGTGATATGCCTGCTTGCTAAAGCTCTTCGGCACCGTCCAGCGCTCAATCTGCGCGTTGGGCGTACACACATCGAGCGTAACGTGGCCGCGACGCTTGATGGGCGGGAGAATCTGGCGGGGCAGAGAGAGCATGTCGGGTGCCGTCTCGGACGTCTCGAAGCCCTCAAAGGCCCGGTCGGCGGCTTCTGCGCCGGCGAGCGGTCCGTCCTTTGCTGCGACGCCGCGCTGAATAGCGATGTAGCTGAATTGCACATCGTCGTGGTTGCGGTGTGTTGCGCCCATGATTCTTTGCAAGAACGGCGGACGCACGAAGCGCTGGTTGAAGTGACAGAAGTCCTTACGTCCAGTACTCTTTCCAGGAACCTGGTACATCGGGCACCCGCGGTGGTTTGTGCAGGGCGCAATAATCATGCCAGGCACCTTTTCTCTCTCGAACGCCGGGTTCTTTTCTTCGCTCATGGTAAGATTTTCACCTCCAGGAGGGATGAGGAACTCAGTGAGCAGACGCTCTCGAACATCAGCCACGGCTTCAAAACCGCGCGGCTGGCCCTTTTCCAGCAAGATCAAGACACCGCCGTTGGGATTCAGAAGTGACCAGATGTTGTTGAGAATAGCCTTCCGTCTGTGGCCTTCCTTGACGGGAAGCATCAGGTGAGATGCGATGATGATATCGAACATCTTCCTCGGCTGGGGGTTTTCATTGGCATCCAGGTGAAGGTGTGCGTTCTCGACTGAGTGGTGGTAGTCGGGAAGACGGGGGAGGAAAGTCGTGTTCTGCAAAAACTTAGTGACGCGAGTCCGCAGCTTTTCCGATCCCACCACCACGCTCTGCTTTCCGGGAGGGTTCTTCTCAGTGACCTCTCCGCGAGACTTCATGGCGTCCCACTCGGCGCGCGACACATCCTGCCAGGCCAAAAGACCAGCACCACCAGCGCCAACGTCGAGAACGCGAGGCCCACTCCCGTTCTTGAAAAGATTGCGCAGCCATTCCGTGCCCAGGCGTTTGCGAACCTCGACCAAGCTCCCCATGGCCGAGGCGTAGGCGGGGGGTAGGAAGGCAGATACGAAGGCGTCCGCCTCAATGTCAGACATTTTGTTCTGCCAGACAGCCATGCCGATGGCCTGTTGTTCCATGCCCATCTTGGACGCCGGGGTAGCGGGGGAGTGGGGCAGGCCAGGGCCTCCGAATGCCTTCTCAGCAGCCTCCTTGACGTGCTTGATGTCTGTTCTGTCGAGCATTGATGTGACCGGTGCAATGTATCCGCCATACGGCAGACTGACTGTGCTCGGGTTTGTCGAGAAGTGGCCCTCCCTCGAGAATGGGTGCAGACGTCCTGCCCGCTTCGAAGTCCCTTGATCCTGGATGCCATCCTGGCTCTCGTCGAATTCCTCTTCTTCTTCCTCATCCTCTTCGAACTCCCGTTCCTCGTCCCGCATTTCGTCCTCCTCCAACATCTCCCTGTTTTCTTCCTCCACGGCGCGGGCGTTGGCCTCGAAATCCTTTTGCAGCATCATGAGCGCGTCATACTCCCTCTTGTTTCTCGCCACCATGTTGATGTATTTGTCGCTGCCTTCTGGCGCTGCCTGCTCGGTCGGCTCAGGCTCTATGACCTCGGCAGCAGCAGCAGCAAGCTCATCACTCGTCTCGGATACCTGCTCGTCGTTGTTTTCCGCCGCTTTTTCCGCCTTCTTGCGGG